GCAGCAGCAGCAGCAGCCGCATCAGATGCCGACTGCTTCTGCAACCGGGCGGCAACATTGGATGGGTCGACCCACCCAGTGTTTGGCTGAGCCATATGAAGACTTCATGTGCTGTTGCAGCAAAATGTTGCAAGCAGGCAGGCAGCGAGGCATTCAAATGCCTCGTTTGTTGTTCTTCGCTTTGTGGCTGTGGCTGGGGCTGAGGCTGTGTCCGTTCTGGTGCATGTCTGGCGAGCAGTTGCTGGCCAACTGCTACTTACGACTGCCAACTGGCCATAATATGTAATTTCAATGATTTGCATACAAAACACTTTTCACCAAACGTAGCAGAAGAAGAAGCAGCAGCAGCAGCAGCAGCATTGGCCGCTTTGCTGCAGAAGCTGCAGCTGGAGCCAGCAGGCATTCGTATGGACAAACAAACACGTTAAATACTTCCGCGTTCGTTGCATGCTACACGAGGCGCAGGAGCAGCAGATCGAAGCAGCAAGAGAGAGAGAGTGAGTGAGAGAGAGAGAGCGTGTGAGAGAGGCAGAGTCGGTCAGGTGGACAGTGCGATCTTCACAGATGCATGCCACACAGTTCTTTTAGTTTTCGGCTCGTTCGTTTTCATAAGCTCGAAATATTCATATTTGTCACGAAGCCGCTTGCAGCATGGCCCCAACAAAGATTTCCTGGCCAAGAATGAGGCCAACTAATGGGCTTTGCCTTGTTGCCAGTTTGCCTGCTGCCTGCTGCCTGTTGCCTTTTCGCCAGCGTCGTTTCTGCGAAACCGAGCGAACGAAAATTATAATAACCAGTTTAAAGTTAAAGTTAAAGTTCTTTTATAATGCCTCCAAGCCGCCGTCGCTCTTGACTCTTAACTCTTCTTTTTTTTTTTTGGCAAGCCGGCCAATGACCCAGCACAATTTACAAGGGCTTTACGCAGCCGAAAACGTGAGCTGGCCCAAAATGGGAGCGTGCCCGCTTTCGAGGCAAGGTCAGCAGGAGCTGTAGGGAGTCGAGTGCTGGCTCCATCGGCGAAAGTTTTTTCGCTGCCAAAAAGGGGTAGACAGAGGGAGAGCGAGCGAGAGGGTGAGAGAGGGTGGGAAAGCAGAAAAGTCCATTTAGATTTAATGAGATATTGGGCCCAAGTCAAGTCGCGTCCGGCGCGGCCTTTCCTTTGGCACAGAAGCATATATGAAAACTGCAATAAAGCAAACGCTTGACGCTTGTGGCCCATAACAAATGAACAGCAGCAGCAGCAGCAGCGGCAGCAGCAGCAACTACACAAATGTGTATTTTTTTTTAACAAAAATTCCAAAAGCAAATCCATTTTGTTCCGACTTTCATTTCGGAGCAGCAGCAGCAGCACACACACACACACAAACACACACTCTTAGAGCAGACAAAAAGTGATCGCTGCACAGTTTGAAGACAATTGTATAAATGAAAGTTTAAGATCTCCATGAACAAGTGTGTGTGCATATGTGTGTGTGTGTGTGTGTGTGTCAGTTATGTGTTTGTGGGGCAGGGCAAACGTGTGCGCCCCCTCCTCTATGTGATATGAGCTAACGGTGGCTCTGCCACTGCCATCGCCTGTGGCAGCGACAGGTTGTGCTCAGCGCCGGCACTTGACTATGCAACTGCCCCGCCACTACCCCCTCGCCTTTGGCCGGGCAAGCGGCTTACAGCTAGCCACCCAGACACCTGGCACGTGTTGCCCGCCAATGAATAGGAGAGAAGTTGTTGTTGAAAAACAACAACAAGAAGAAGAAGACAACGACAACAGAAACAATTTTCAATTGTTTAGCAGAGGCTGTCCATGTGGATGTGGATGCTGGGGCACATTTCTCCATTGCAGCTTTGACTTTGATTTCGATTTACTTTTGCTTTTCATTGTTAAAAGTGCCGCCAATGCGTCAATGCAGCATCGGCCCCAGTGGGGCAGCCATTGGAGGTGGGGGCGTGGCATTTGTTGTGTCTGTTAAGACTTTTAATAACAATTTTATGGTTTTTAACACAATTCGCTTTGCGCGCTGCCCATTGTGTGCACGGGTTTCTATGGCACCCAGAGAATGGGAGAGAGATCTGATTAGAAGTTGCATTAAAAGTGAATCGTTTGTGAAATCAATTGTTGGAGAATTACTTTAATTTTTATAGGGTATTGTGGACGAGGGCCAAGAGTCGGGGCTGAAAGACAAACAAGATCTGTCGGAGGAGAACAAAAGAAGCACGAGCGAGAGATAAATGGTGGAAAGAGGAAATGAGAAAGGAAAAGTAAGAATGAAGAAGTTGAAAGGAGGTGGGAGGAAGGAAGGTTAAGGGATGTAGAAGAAGGAGAGGGGATGGAGGAAAAGAGAAGATGCAAAAATGAAGAAAGAGGAAGACGACAGAAGGAAAAATAAAAAGTAAGATGGAGGGAAGAAAGAGGAAGGAGGAACTGGAAACGAGGAACAAGAATCGAGGAAGGAGGAAGTAGGATGAAAAAGAAGGAAGATAGTATGAGGAACGTATGAAGGAAGAAGAAAAAGTAACTAGAAAATAGTAAGGACAAATAAGGAAAGAGGAAGGATGAAGTAGTAAGAAGGAAAGCGAAAGGAGGAAGTAATAGTACCAAATTGGAAAAATCAAGGAAGAAAGACGAATAAGAAAATGAGAAGAAGAAAAAGCGTCCAATTGTTTAAAGGAGCTGGGAAAATAAAAGGAAAATAATGAATATACAATATACTAAGCAAAATGGAAAAATCCTATGAAAAAAGAAAGATAATGCCAGAGAAAATCGCAAGAGAAACTATGCAGGAAATGTTAAATCTAGGTTGATATGGGTTTACGCTATCTAGTAATTCTGTACTATTATCTCCCACATAGATGTGCTATTAAATTAACAAATTGATGTTCCTAGGCATTTCCTTAGTCTACTTCTTCGTACTCTCTACCGTGTGGTAATAAGATCGACCGTTGATCGAGCGCTAACGAGGGTGAATAAACGCCTTCGATAGCTGTTGATTGATTTATTAATGACCTATGTTATTGATAAAGTCCGCCTCCCAAATGCAAATTTGTTCGCCATGCTAACAAATTATATGAATATGCTTTCGTTATGCTTCATTAATTTTTGGCAAAAAAAAAAAGAAATATATTCTCAGTTCCCTCAACCCGGCTCAATAGACAATCAAAAATACTTAAGATCATTTCCCCATGCTTTTTTCTTCTACTCCGCAATCAGCGTCAATTATTGATTTATATGTATAGGTATATGGTTCTGCCTGTGGGACAATCAAACTGAAGTCATGCGCCTTCCGGTCCTCAATAAAAACCTTCAAATTAAGTTTTGTGTATGAAAAAGTTTTGCACCAAAATCGAAGCAATTTTTTATTTTTGTCTGTTCCTAAAGCTCGAGAGAAAGAAAACGAAATAAAAAAAAAATAAAATAAAGTAAAATAAAAGATCAACGCTTTCAAGTGCCCACTTGGCACAATATAAAAAATATCTTTGCGCTTCTTATGCGAAGGCGATTGCTCTCTATATGCGAGTGCGTGGGTAGTACAAGAAGTTCGTTGGGCGTGGGCTGCAATCAATCTATTAATATATGATGATACTTATATGGATTAAAAAATTTATAGCACAGTAAAAGTTTTCATAGAGCGTTTTCCCTTTCAGTTCATTAAGAGAAATTTGGCTGTAAAATAAATACAATTTAATAAAAATATTATATATTAAAACATTATATATTATTATATATTAAATTCGTAAATAATTTTTAATAGCTTTTTTATATTTACACAGATTACTTGCATATAAAATAGATAGGATGTTTTTTTATTTTTATTTTTTTATTTTGATAAAATTTAGAATAATTTGTATTTAAAAAATTCTAGATTTAATTAATCACACACTTTAAAAACGATTTAAAAATACAGAAGATGTTTTTAATAAATATATTTTTTAATAAATTATTTAAAAATTGTCTTCAGTCATGGAGCATTATATCTAATATTTTCCGTAATAAATCACTTCCCTCTTCTGGAATTTTGCAACCCTTTGAACCACTCCGATTGGTCAAGTCACCGTCCGGACTGAATCAACAGTTTCTCTGGCAATTTGGCGGGTCAGATTCAACTCGAAATGAACGCAAATGCGAAAATTACACCCCAAGCGACCAATTTAAAGCCATTAAATTATAATTTTGTAAATTTTAAAGAGCCTATGCCCGTTCAGCCAGATATGCCAGAGATGCCCAGAAATGCCCAGAGACTATGGACGAAGACACCCGAACGAACGCATTATTCAATTAGTGTGAAATGCGATTGTTTATTTTCGGAGTAGAATTGTGGCACGTCGTTTATTTTGTTGTCTTTAGTTGGCTTAGTACGGAATTGCGGCGATTGCTCAACACTGGCGGAAGCAAATGACGACGACGACAACAACAACAAAAAAACAGTTAATTGTAAACGAAAAGTGAAAAAGACAAATAGAAATAGAAGTGGATGTAGGTGTAAGTTGTAAGTGGTAAGTATGTATGTGTGTGTCTGTGTGTGTGCAGGTTACGTTTATCTGCTTTAATCTGCGCTTGCAACTGTCCCCAACTGACACTCATAATTAAAGAAACAAATAAAGCACACACAGCATAACAGACGACAGCAGCAACGGCAACGCCAGCAGCCTCCACAGCCTCGCAGCGACCACATTAACATAGTGCAAGAAAATAATAACAACAACAACAACCACAAGAGTAGCAACGGCAACGGCAATAGCAGCAGCAGCAGCGACGACGACGACGACGACGACGGCACTTGTCGTGTCTGCGCGTCTGCGCGCAGCGACGCGTCGCTACGTCCGATTTCCAAGGCAGCGCAAAGCTTCCAGCTGCTGTCGCTGCGGCTGCGGCTGCGCTGCCTTGACTTTGACTTTGGTCTGGAGCTTTTAAGCTGGCGTCGCAGCCGCTGCCGGCGTTGGTAACTTCTTCGTGTCTGCAAACGGCTGCTGTCTTAGTTCTTAAGTCCGTCGTTGGCGTGCTCCTCTTCAGTTCGTTGCTGACCAACGTAACGTGCGGACGTGCCCAGCTCGCCTCCACAAACGAACCAAAATCAAAAAGAAGAAAGAAAATTTGAACAAACCGAAATAAAACAGAGCAGCGAGGCGAAATACAGTGCAAATTTTAACATTTAATGGTAAAATATATAAATATAAATCAAAAATCTGATACGAGTGCGCGACGCGTGTGTTGAAACGGAAAAAATATTCAAATTAAAACAAATAAATAATAATATATTAAATAATGAATAATAATAATTAGGTCTAATGTGTTGCATTTAATATATACGTTATTTTATGCGCCTGGCCAAAAGAAAAAAAAAACTGTTCAAGAATTTCACCAACTCGCTTGTGTTGTTGTTGTTGTTGCTGTTACGGTCTCGATCTCTCGTAGAACGTCGCTTCAATGGGGTTTTTTTGTGTGTTTGCTGTTTGGGGCTGTGACGGCGTTGATTTTGTCCATGTCCAGCCCAAAGGAGATGGAGGGGGCAGCTCTCTGTGTATGTGTGTGTGTGTGGCAGTTGTTGTCCATGTCCAAGGCGCGGCCAGCGGCGACTGTAATTTCTGTCTTGCGCATTCTAAACACACACACACACACACACAAACACACACTCACACTCAAAAAAGCAAACAAACAAACAAACAAACATGGAACGCAGTCAAGTGAAGACGAGTTGCAGGCAGAGCTGCAGAGGAGCAGAGCCGGAGAGCGCGCAGAGAGTCAGAGGCAAGCAGATGAAGACACTCCTGCCTTGGCTAGTTTGGGAGGAGATGCAGATGCAACAACTGCAGCAGCAGCAGCCGCAGCAGCAGCAGCAGCATCAACTGTTGCTGCACATGTGTTAGCGCTCTCTCGCTCTAGCACGCTGCATTGCCATATTGGGCGCATAACGGTGCAAAAATCGCGTTGCTTTTTAGCCTCTATCCATGTGCATGTGTCGCTCTGTGTATGTGTGTGTGTGTGTGTGCTGCTTTTTATGCTGCCAAGTTTATGTCCATGGCTGCTGCATTGATGACGACCCAGCGACCGATAGACCAACCAAAGTGCGATCAAGCGAAAACCGCAAAAAATAAGAAAAATTGGGGAGGGGAAGAACAACATCAGAATCGAAATAAAAAATGAGCAAGAAAAATGCACTCTGCAACTCCATTTGCAGTTTTGCGGTTGTTTGCAGCAGCCGCAACACTTCACCCAAAGACACACACCAACACACACACACACTCATACGCACACACGTTAAGTGTGCAGCTTGGCACTTGGCATACCATTGGCCACATCCTCGACTCGCATCCTGCTGCTGCTCCTGTGAGTGGGTCAGCGTCAGCAATCAATCTGCTGGCCTTCGCTGCTTCGCTGATTGAATGCCTGCGCCTTGGGCAGCGTTTGGCGACGCCCCCTGCACTTGCACTTTGACCGCAATGCAAATAATCATCATTTGCCAGGACTTGTTCAGAGCGAGAAGAAAACATAATAAATTACAAAATAAACCGCTAGCAGCAGCAACAGCAACGTGACTACACTGAGCGAAATCGGATGTTGATTGGGGAGATATAGGAAAAACTATGAAGAGAAAATATAGAGCAATAGATAGATTAATTAATATACTCTACAATTCCCTAAGATTTTTAGTCCAAAATGCATTTAAAGTGAGCTGAGGAACTTGATAAGAGCAGAGGAAACTTTTCTTAGTTCATTTTAATGCAGCTGCAAATATTCGCATAAAAATATATTTTTTTAGGGATTAAACATCAATTATAATTGAGTAATTGTATTTTTATATATTTTTAAAATTTATATTTTTTCATAAATCATCTGAAACGCATGGTAGAAAAATATCACAAATATCTTTGAGCCTCTAGCGAACAGTCTAGTCTCTTTAAATTTTTTTCCATTTTGAAAGAATATTCAAGAATATTTTGGATTTTCATATCCAGATACAATATATGATAAACCTTAATTCATGAATTCAGCAAATTTGAAGATCTCAACAGACTAAAATTTTGGCTATTCTAGAATATCAATTCGTCATAATTTATACAAGATAAATCCAAGAACTTTCTGAGTGCCCACCAATAGAATATGTTTTCGCTTCATGAAACTTCTTCAAAAAAACTTTAAAGAAATATTATATGAGCTGCAGTGTTCTGCCTTTAGTATAATAAGAATAAGACCAAGCAACTAAATAATACTTATACAATTTCAAATGATAGAGCATTAGATTGTCAAATAATATATTTATATATACATATAAAAATATCCCATACAAACTCAAGTCCCAACTTGAGCTGCTGCAAAGCATTTTCTCACTGTCCATCGCGCTATAATTTACAAGAGCATTATTGGTCAATAGGTTATGGCTGTGCAACATCCACAGTTTCCATCTATATGAGTGCGAGCGTGAGTGTGTGTGTCTGTGTGCCCTAAGGCATTAGCATAGACTGACTGCAGTTTAATGGGCCACACAGACAACGCTGCTCACTAATTTTTATGTGCACAGCTTGCGGCTCTTTGGGTTGCAGCCCACTTTAAACGGAACTCGAAGTCAGGCAACGCCTATAAGTTTTTTTTCCCATTTTTTATTATTATTAAGTTATAAAAACTACAGCAACAACAACAACAACAACTAGAAGCCAACATGCACAGAGATCTTAGCTGAGAAGTAGCCCAAATCCAACCAAAAATTGAATGCCGTCTAACGGTTATGGAGCTGACTGACAACACGTTGTCGTCACATTCCCAAGCTCACAAGCATTGCAATAAAATGAGATTTTATAACTGAAAAAAAGTAGAGGAAGAGGAAGGCGAACAAGAACTAGTGGAGGCAGTCCCCAAAAATATCCAAGACAGTTCTATAAACAGTGAGAGGCAAAACAAAAAAAACAAAAAAAAACTAGACAAAGGTCGTCACAGCAAGTGAAAATAGCAAAGTAGAAAACCGAAAACAATTATGGGCAGCCAGGTGTTAATTTCAAGTTCGTTGCCTAAGTCATTCGTTTTTGTCGGTGCTTCTTTTTGAATGTTGTAAGTGGAGCGCACGGGCTGCGCCCAGTGAATGCGAATGAGGGGCGTGCGAGCCGGCCGGCAAAAGGCCATAAAAAACCTTTACAAAAAAATGAAACACATTCACATATATTTCATTATTATTATTATTATTCTTACTTATATTATTATTATTACGTTGTTGTTGTTCTTGTTGGGCTTTGAGCGTACGTTTAACGTTTTCGTTTGACTTCGTTTCGTTTCGTTTCATTTCCGTTTTGACCCACGTCAAGTTCAAAGGTTGTGAACCATACAGCAACAACAACAGCAACAACAATAACGAAAAATAAATATATACGATAGCAGCAGCAACGACAATAACAACAACAACAACAACAGCAACAACAACGACGGTTGCATTTCACAACAAACACCTAGCTGGCAACATCTTCTTGGAAGCAAACGCTCTGTGAGAGCAACAACAATAGCAACAGCAACAGCAGCAGCAGCAGCAGCAGCGGCAGCAACAATGACAGCGACGCCGACGTCGACGTCGGCTGCGGCGAGAAAGCAACCTGCAAATAGCGCGTTGCTCCGCGAAGCTTTTACGGTTAAGCGGCTTTTAGCGGTAAGTCCACATGAATAAAACAACAAATAAAACAGACACAAACACACACATACACACACACAGCAATGCATTGCAGTGTTGACAAACATCGTTCAATTCGCTAACAAAAAAAATCTGCCAATGATCAGCGGCAAACGGGGTTGCCACACCATTTCATATCTTTTGGGGCGTTGCCAATGCGAACTGCTCCCAAAAATAAAACTTCAATTATTGTCAAAGCATTATTGTTCGGCTTAAACATATTTCTATATACAAGTACAAAGTTTTTGGCGTGGGCTGTTCGGCATTTACTTAAGCCTCGACTTTGACTTTGATCGTGGGCCGTTGGCCAAGTTTTTACAGCTGTTATAGCCGCTTCAGCTTGAGTGTGTGAAAGAGCTGTGAAGTCGGCCATTGGGTCAAACGTTGTCTGATAGATGGCCAAGGCGTCGATGCTGATGATGATCACCATCATCGCCAACATCATTATCATCATCGTCTTCCACTACAACTCTTTCAGTTAGCTTAACTGTTTGCCTAGCAGGGCGTCCGTCACTCCAGCTCTCTGAATAATGTACGCAAATTAATCTAATAAAAAAACGGTGGGAGTTACACTTTTTATTTTGTTCGGACTTAGGCTTGGGAATACACAAAGGGCCCTTTATGCCTTAGGTGTGCCTGTCGTTGGCACGCTAGCCAACTTAACTTTTGAATTATTGAAGCAATAAATGTTCTCTTGAAAATGGCTGAGAACTGAAAATGTGCATTTCATAAATGTGGGGTAAAAGCGTATTCCAATTAATAACGAGAGAAGAGTGGAAGACCAAATTGATTTGAATGTGAAAGAAAAGTTTTTAGGTAATAGGAATATAATGTTTATTAAGATAGGCTAAGGCTGGGGGAAGAAAATATAAAAAAAAAAAAAAAAAAAAAAAACTTAAAATATTATATGGAAAATTCATTACAAATGAATAGGCAACTGATTTTATTTTGTAATATGATACATTATGATATGTATGATATGTACATAAAATATATTATTAAAAGATTTGATTTTGTAATATAATAAATTATCATATGTATGATATATATTATATTTTTTATATAAGACATTATTATTAGTGAGTCCTTTATGTATATATATATGAAAGCTCATAATATTTCTTTATAACATTCATATAAGATTCTATGAATTAAGTAATTTAATATCAGTTGGCTGACTCATAGAGCTCTTGACTTAACTATCTTCAACCTTGAATTACCCTTCTTATGCAACTCTTTCAGAATTTTCCACACACATATACATATATATACATTAATATATATATACATACATATATATCCCAGCATCTTCATTTTCTTCCTCTACCAAAATCGTAGCGCAATTATTTATATTCACATTTTTTGCTGTTTGTTTAACCGTTGCTCGGTCTTAGCCTTGGTCAGCAGCCGTTTCACCTGCATTTCAGCTGTGGGCAGCTGTGCCTGGCCAAAGGTCAGCAGACAGTCTGGCGCCCAACGATCATTAAACAAAACACAGACTGCAACAGCAACAACTACGACAACAACAACAACAGCTGCAACAAATGTACGAAAGTAATTTGTAATTTGTAAAACACGAAAAATGATTTTCTGCTATTTTTTGTTGTTGTTGTTGTCTTTGTTGCTTGTGTAATTTTGTGGTCCTGCTGCTGTTCTTTTACGATGCTGCCAGTAAATTACGAGTGCCGGCAACCGGGGCGTGCGTTCAACTTCTTCATTAGCGCTCAAATTGCAAAAGTTGCCGTAAACAAAATATAAATCAAGCCAGCAAGCAAGGCCCCGCTAAATAAATAATGTGCGTGTGGAGGTTGTATTATGATGGCCTGGCCAACACCGGCAAATCCTGTCAGCCACTTGCTAATAGCATCCTACACACGCTACTATATCGTATACCATATACACATATATACATATATTTCGGCTATATTTAAACTGCTATTTCTTGCACTTGAAAGTTTGCTGCTAGCCAAACAAAAGCGTCTGGCAATGAAAGTAACTTGAATGCTTAATGGGTCAACTTGAGATGCGGTGAGAGAGAGAGAGAGGAGGAAGGAGAGGCAGAGGCAGACACTGGTATAGGTAGTCTTTCATATGCTGGCCACTCTAATGGGCCAACAACAATAATCACATTCTCTGCTCGTGCTTAAAAGCCACTCGAAAGCATAATTAAACAATTTTTTTTTTATTGACTCTTTTCTTTTATATTGATGCTGCCGCTGAGAATTCAGAATTGAGAATGGAACTGAAATTCTGTCTTTGTCTTTGACTTTGCCTTCGACTCTGTCTCTGTCGATGCTTTTTTAAACTGCTGCCGGTTTCCATTCTTTTGCAGCTCTAATAGCAATTGCTGATGCTGCTGATGCGGCTGCTGCTGCTGCTGCTATTGAGTGTTTTGTTATGAGCCCACGTTTAGTTTTGCGGCTTGTGTCAGCCAACAGCAATGGCAACAGCAACAACAACAAAAATTCAATTGGAATTGAGTAGAAATTGTGGTTGTTAAAAAATTGTTGGGAAAAAAAAGTGCATAAGGCCAAATTCTAACTGTAATCTATATATTCATTTGGCATAGAAATAGAGGAAGTCAAAATCAATTCAGTTAAGTGTGGCAATCAAAGAATAGAATTTTATAGAGGCTTATCACATATTTACAATGCTTTTAACTTTGTGAGGCTAAAGAAATGTTCAGCTGATATTGCAGTAGAGATGCTCTACTCTATAGAGACCATATATATAATATATGATATGATAGAATGATTTTTTATTGACCAAAATTTAATAAAATATTCAACATAATATAAAAATTTTGTTTAAATTTCGCAAAAAAAAAATTAAATAAATAAATAAAAAATAAAACAAAAATAAGCAAAAATGAAATAAAATAAATGAAATAATTTAGAGAATGACCAACAATTTTTATTTTATAATACAGACCTATACAAAAACCGGAAACAATATTCCTACAGACTCTACTTCAGACCCTCTCAATCGAAAATGTTCCCAACAAACTCGTAAAAATAACTTTTGAAACAAATTGTGTGCAACAATTAACTATTCAGCATCCGTATCTATGCAACTAGCATCAGTTGCATACAGGTTCAACTTCTTTTGCTTTTTACAACATCAACAACGACAGCAACAGCAACAACAACTAACTGTAAACTTATGTCGCAACTTGTTATATTTGTCGGCGAAGAGCTTGGCTTGCGTGTGCGGCTCTGCCAATTGGAATTCTTATTAGAATGTGCTTGTAGGCGCTGGGGAAGGGGGCATATCTATTACAATTTAATGCTGTCATTGAATTTTATGCCTCAGCAAATTTGAGCTGGAAATCAAAATGAAAATATAATTACACAAATCAAATGGCGCAGTACCGTTTCGTTTTCCATTATCCAATCAGACTATGCAAATAGATATGGTTACCCAACTGAAGAGTGGGCGACAAGGCGGACGGGCAGGCGTGCGGGCGAGCGGTTAGTTAGTTGGGCGGGGTAGTTGGCATAATTAATGGCGTGTGGCGCTTAACACTGGCCCGAGTGCATTGTACTCTGTGCTCCGCATTCTATCTGTCAGATACACACGTTCTAACTGCAAACGGCCCAAAAGATACAAAAGCCAAGAGCTGTAACTGGAGTGTGTTATAATACCCTTTGCTGTTGTTGTTGCTGTTGCTGTTGTGTTTAATTATAGAGAGCCCAAATGGGTTTGGTTTTTTTTTCAGATCTGGGCTTTGTGCAGCACTGGGAGTGTGTATCTTTGTGTGTTTGTGTGTGTGTGTGTGTGTGTGTGTGTGTTGTGTTCAGGCAACTGTTAATTTTGTTTTACAACTTGTGCTTGTATCTTTGGAGCATCTATAACGTGTTCGTCTACTTATCTGGCTAACTGTCAGTTACAAGCATAACAAACACATGCGTAATATACACCAACACACACACACACACTCACATACAGCTTTTCATTCATAAATATAGTAGCTGCAATAACATTATATCTTTTGGTTGGTTTCTTGTGCGATTTTCGACTACACAAATTAATTATACCGCAACACTTCATGGCCAAGACTTTTGGCTAACGGCGATTTCGTGTACTCAAACAATTAGCTTGGCTGGTCAGTGTTGGCTAACGCCTAACGCTTCACGCTGTGCAAATTTTACGCCCGGCTAACTATTAAATTGTTGATTAACCATAATTCTTATATCATCTGCATTTTACAACATAATTATATAAGATCTATGGATATAATCTTGTAGCATCGTGATGTGGCATGTTTTAGCATGGGCATGCTCATATAATTTGTTGCAGATTAGATTGGATTAATGCTGGATGAACGTGTTTGACTTGAGTGAAATATTCGAGAACGGAAACTGTTAACTCATCTATGTTGCATACGAGAAAGTTTTTTTTTTTGGATTGGATTGATTTTTGCTTCGTGGATTATGTGGTTCAGTAATACTAGAGATTTAGAGATTTTTTATGTCTGTCAGTTTTGCAACTAAGTGAAACATTTGATTATTAATAAGATATTTTTCTCTGATTTCGGAATTTCTTTTTAATTTCAATAGCATAGTTATGGCTGACTAAATGTATCTAGGAGATCAGCTTAATCCTAATTATCTTTTATCTTTCAAAACCGCAGCTTTAGAGAAATGCTTCATTATGAAGCTCATTAGGGATTTGACCCAATCAGTTTTAAAACTTACCTGACCTAGCTTGATTTCTATGCAAACAATTAGGTTAATCATATATGCAAAACAAAACAGAACGAGAACTAGAATGTGGAAGATCGAATCGATCCAAATTCGATTGAAGATCCTATATATAGTTAGTTATAATTTCTGGGTTGATCATTTGGCCTATATACATAGATAGTAAGATATCGTTTCTTGGGTTCTGAGCTAATTTGACCATTTTGTTTAGCAACATTTTTATATGAAACAAAAAAAACATTGATTGGAATATAGAATAGCTGCAATCAGCTAGTATACAATTTGAGTATATATACCTTCTATTATAATCAAGTATTATCTAAAATTAATAGCTTTAAGCTTTATTTAATATATATTTATAATGAATAATATTTATAAAAATTGATATCTTTTAACTTTTAGTTATTCTTTATTAAAAATCCTAATTTACTTCAATTATTCTTTCAGACCTTTGTCATCTGCACACTGCTCAACACAAGTCAGGCTCTGGAGCTGGGTGACAAGTGCCAGCATGACATGGACTGCACAGATTTCATCAAGGGCAGCAGCTGCTCAGCGCTGGGCTACTGCGAGTGTGCGCCCTACTTTGTCCAACTGGACTCCAAGCGCTGTCTGTCATGTAAGTCAATCTTTGAGTAACCCCATACCATTGCCATTACCATTACAAAAAAGAAGAAAAAAAAAAAAAAAATAGAAAAAAGAAGACATGTCTCTATTGAAGATATGTCCATTTGTTTGTTTGTATGTTTGTTTGCTTATCTGCAAATAAAAGTGCTTCAGTTGTTTGCATAAATGCAGAGAAGCCGTTACTCATATGGCACATAACTTACTTAGCTGTATCTCGTTTCTTCAACTGCAGCTCAACTACTGGGCGGCGATTGCCAGGTGAGCGAACAATGCTCAATGAAGGTGGCAAACAGCAGCTGCTTGGACGGTGCCTGCCGCTGCGTCGAGGGATTCTTGCAGTTCCGCAAGCACACATGTCTGGGACGTAAGTATCAGACAACTGTTGATCAATTGTGGCCCTAATTGCATGGAATTTCATAATTACAATACATACATACAATACATGCATACAATACATACATACATCAATAATAATAATAATAGTAGCCTTAACTGTCGTTCGTTCAACTTCATGTTGTTTAGTTTACACATAAATTGCAATAAATGCTCAAAAAAAAAAATAAAACTAAAATTGAAAAGAATGGAACTTTGATTGCTTATCGTCTAGGAATTACACGCATGTGCAGCAAATATACACACCTTTCTCTTTCATATCTGGCATCTGTACAACATATATAGTTTGTTTTTATTTTTTTTCCAATCTGTTTAACCATCGCATTTCATTCATTTCCGCTTGATTGTTTGACGTTCGTTAACACTTCTATAACAATTTTTCTTTTGCTATTGCCGCCACTTGACACAAGCAATTAACATGGCTATAACAATAACAAAAAAAAAAAAACACACACACACACACAACAACAACAACAACAACCACAACAACAATTGCTACTCTCGAGCTAACAAGACAATCGTGTCACTAATTATACGCATAATTGGTTAATATTCCTAGAATCATGGAACGAGCCAAAAGCCGAGCCACTGCATACTTCAAGTTTTTGTCTTTCTCTTCTTCTTTTTACCTTTCCAATTTTCCACTTTAGAACTTCATTTTGAATACGAAATGTAAGTGGCCATAAGAGAGGCTATTGAGTTTTGTAGACTTGTTCGGAAGTGGACATTGATTGGCCTATCGATTGATAAGTTGTAGGCAACGAATTTAGCTGCAGACAAACTAGAAAAGAATTAAAGATTATTGCAGATTATTAAATTAATATTTTATTTATATGTTCCTGAAATATAAAGTTTAAGTTTATTAAGTTTTGCCTAGGGCATGTCTGTCTCTTGGTTAGTCTACAAATCTTCTGATGAAGCCAAGGAAGTCTTCTTTGTTTGAGTGCAGTAGAATGTTAATTCTAAGTGCTTGGCTTTCGAATTTCTGTATGATATTACAGTTTGAAAACTGACAGTGCCTGAAATTGTATTCTCACAGGTCCACATGCATTTCATTATGGTCTTTTGGACTAGTAGTTTGACACGCAGCCGCAGGGTAGATCTTCTTCCGATAAAGCCAGAGATTTTTACACTGTTTATTTATTTATTAATTTTTTTTTTTTTTTTTTTTTTTTTTTTTTGAATAAGCTGATTTAGCTTTTATGCTAACTAGAATGAGACTGAGATTAATAAAAAAGTTTCTTAAACGAATGATATAGATATAGAAAGATATTAAATATATTTCGCATTAACGGTAAACTTCAAAGGCCCTAAGCTGACGATAAGTAAAAAAATATAAATATAATAAATAAAATTAATTTTATAAACAAATTTTAAGGAAACTAAAAATATATTTAAATAATATATAAGATATATATATATATATATATATTTTTTTTTTTTTTAATAATACTATATTTATTTTATATATAATATATAATTTTAATATATTTGGATTGTGCTTTTTATTTTATCTCCTTTTTTTTTTTTTTTTTTTTTTTTTTTTTTTTTTTTTTTTTAATCGAGATTCTCAGAATAATTTATTCATTTTTAGCGGCAATAAATTTAATTTAAACTTGCGATTTGTTTTAGAGATTAGAAATGTTTCTTTTTGTAGTTCATATCAGCAGACAGATGAAATATGAAGACATATTCTTGTCTAAGATAGATGAGCTACAGGTTATGGTTATAGTTGATAGTAAGCTAAGTACGTTGTTTTGTTGCTACCTGATGAGAAAGTTTATTAGATATTTTACTAAAGCTTTATATTTGATTATCGTATAATGTGCATTAGCAAGATATTTCTGTACACTAGAATACAAAGTAGAGTCCCCACTCAAAATTATGTTTAACAAAGTTCAAATCAACTCGGCGCTGTTTATTTTCCAATCAGAATTCCCTTGAAGAATTCGACTCAACAAAAGAACTTTTCCAATAAGCTTTTCAGGTGTGCTTCACTCATTAGCCGAATGCAGTTCGATGAGTAAAAGAAGCACACAATTGAGATCGAGGCATTAGTTAAATGCCAGTTCCATTAGATGTTTGCGCAGCATTCGAGTTGTTCCGATTCTGATCAATGGCTGGGGTCGCATTCCCGCCGTATGTTGGCACATTGGCGCCTAATGGCGTTAATCTGATTAGAATGTTTTGTCGATTCAAATGAGACTGAGACGGAGACGAAGACTGAGTACGAGCTGCTCAGCTGGCCACTTGCGGTACATTTGTTTGCCCAGCTACTTAGCGGGCACGACAAAGAACACGATTCGAACTGCGACTGCGATGGCGACGGCGACGACAAACTGTAACAGTCAACAGAAGCAACAGCAGCAGTAGTAGAAGCAGCAGCAGCAGCAACTGTTGCCTAGAGTTCGTGTCTTTGCCATTCACCTGTTGCATTCTACTGCGACATAATTATACGGCATTTAAAATCAACTGAATGCAAAAGACGCCCAGTGGGCGTGGCACGGCAGCTGGCAGCGGTCTGCAGGCTACAGGCTATGGCCAACTGGCATTGGCTGGCTTTAATATTTAATTAAAATAATTTTAATGACATGTGGTCGGGTCGACTGTTTGCGGGCAGCTAAGCGCATTGCATGCCATTTATGAGATACTTTCACCAAAAAACTAAAGAAATGCAGAAATACGGAAAGAAAGCAAAGCGGACAGAGCTAAGAGAGGAGCAGAACCTTTCACCAGCCGCAGGTCCTGTGACAGCTTCACAGATTCGATTAATATCTCCCTCTCTCTCTCTCTCTTTGTGTTTGTATCTGTCTGCTTTACATGCCTAATTGCCAGCGCTGCTTTTGTAATTAAATTGCACTGATTATGTGAAAAGAAAGCAAGCGACACGGTCAAAGAAAGTCCAATTAGCGTAGCAGCAGCAGCCGCAGCAGCAGCAAGAGCATCCAGAACTCTGAATCAGAATCCCAACTGCAACTGCAACTGCAGCTGGAACTTTTGCTGCTGCTGCAGTTGACTCCCGTTTTGCACAGTTGACAAACGTTCACTATACTCCCTCTCTCTGTCCCTCTCTCTCTTTCTCTCTCCCTCTCTCTCTCTCTCTGTTTCATTCCCTCTTGGGTCAAGTTGAGCAAGTGCTGTGCCAGATTTGGAGCTGTGCAGGCTTTCGCTGTTGTCGCCGTGCCACTTGTTCCAGTTTCCCATGCACCTTAACCCAAAGCCTCAAAAACACAAGCCCAAGCCCATTTTCGGGAAAAACGTCGTGTAGACACTGCCAGCACTCTTAACAAGCCAGCCAAGCCAGCCAAGCCAAGCCAAACCAACCCGAAGCGAAGCCAGGCTGATCTTTATGAGTTATGCACACATATGACAATGTTTACCGCTTTGTCCAGAAGAAAAGTATGCCAGGCCAAGCAAATATAATGAACAGATACACATATACATATTGCATATATGCATATATACATATATATATATGCATTTGTCCAGACAAAAAGCGTATGGACGAGGCAGAACGTGGCCAAGACAAAACTCTGCAAATGCAGTTCGAGAAACTTTTAGATTGAGATCTCGCGTTGCTCTGCTCTCGGCTCAACTCAGCTCAGCTCAGTTCTCGGTCTGTGCCGTTTGTTGATTTGCATACAAAGTTGCAGCAAAAGTGAAGCCAATGAGTGGTTGTTCACTATGAATCACTTGACCGCCATCGCTTAAATAACTGCACTTGTTCTGCTTTATCTGATTGCATTTTAGCTGAAAATCAAATAGCCTATGGAAGAAGAAGAAGCAGCAGCTGCATAAGAAAGAGCAGACAGGGGGTGAATGGAGAGGGGTAACATTGATTGATTCTATTGTGACTTATTGAGTATTTAGTTATATATATTTATAAAGATATTGAATATATTTTGCGCTATTATTCTATTCAATGTCTGACTGGTAAACAAATGATGTCTGCATATATCAAAAATTCATTTTTACATTCACTCAATTTGATTTTCTCTAGCTGACTCAAGCTATGAATCATGGCATATTTAATTGTTAACTAAGAGCTAGGCGGATAGCCTTACGGATTTCTAGCCAAGCTAATTTTAATAGTCAATACGCAAGATGGAACCTTCACTCCCACATTCCATATCTCAGCAATGAAATTTGTGAGCTTCTGCTACTTTCTACGTGACTTAAAATTATTCTATGAATCACAGGGCTGAAGAAATTTATGCCAACTGGATTTGAAACTGTGAGCTTGGATATACATGCCAAAAAATATAATTATAAACGAAGTTTTATCATGATCATGAATCAGACTGCGTGCAAGCCCAATGGATGGATAGAATTGCTTTCATCTTCAATCTTCAAGAAAACTTTTGTTTCAAGAAAAGTATATTAATATATACTAATATTTAAAAATGCATATATTTATATATTTAAATATGAAAATATACTACTTAAATTTATTTATCGACTCGTGAATGTCGCTCTAATAAAATCATCCTCAATCAAATCAGAATTCAGACATAATTTATGTATAGAAATTATACACATTATGAAAATTCTTGGCCATTCTTTTGGGCCACTCAAATAATAGTTAATTTCCAAATTTAAAAAAACAAAAAAAAAAAAACCTCTCACTTTTGCCCAGCGCAAATTAAAGTCTTTAACATCGATTTAAAAGCGCCAAATTGTTGTTGGTCAGTGTAAAACACTTTCCATGCCACACAAAAGCCAAGCATTTCATTTCATTCCATTTCGTTTGACCGCTTTATAAAAAATTATGGAAAAAAGAAACAACTAAAAAAAAAAAAATCTAAAAAACTAAAAAAACGTATAGATACAACTGTGTTAATTTGCGCTGTGGGGGAAATGTTTTGACCATTTGTCCAAATTGCGCCAGAAGCCAAATTGCATGCAAATTATGTGGAACAAATGGTTTGGAGACCAGTTTTGCTACTGCCACTTCCTCAAACAATAACAGAGGCAAATGCCATAATAAAATAGAAAAGAAACGACAAGAAAATACAAGAAAGCAAAAAGAAAATTGCGAATTGCGAACGACTTGAATTGCAAGATTGACAAACGACGCCCAAACGCTCGACATCAAATGAAACCGAATTCCAAAATGCAAATGGCTGCAATTAATTAGAAATACCAGGAGGGGGTTCCTCTATATTTTTGTTGCTTGCCGTTGTTGTTGTTGTTTTTCCTGCTTCGTTTTTATGGCCATGATTCGCAATGAAAGTTGGCAGCACAAAATTAACATAAATTGAGTTATTAAAGCCACAGGAATGCGACACTAAATGTTGCAGCTCAGTTTGGCTTGACATAGTTTTCATATGATTATTATTACTATTATTATTATTATTATTATAAGTTATTCGCAAATGAAATTTTATGCTGATTTTGATGAGAGAACTGTGATGAGTAGCGGGAGCTGGAAGTAAATGCAGCATCAGCTGCGATTCGACTCACAGCATTTTCACACGCGCAAACCGTAATCGAAGTGGGTTACCAGATGCAGTCGTGCCGCATTCGCATGCAACCTGTCACACCGGTGCGCCAGGCCAGCCGACAGAGAGAGAGAAAGACAGGCAGAGAGAGAGAGAGAGAGAGAGTGGAGGCAGGTTAAATGGCCATGGCATTGCCCCAGCTTATCGATCATTGCTGCACAGAGGCGTCGTCATCAGAGTCAACCGGGGTGGGCTAGCCATTGTTGATACAACTACTAAAAGTGAAAGAGCATTTGGCTGGCTTGCTATGCCACTGCCTTCCATATTGGTGTCAGAGAGAAAGAGCATCTCTCTATCTCTCTCTCTCTCGCTCTTGCTAGCTACTCGCATTTGGAATGGTTGGGCATAGAGTCAGTGTCAGGGAGTCAGCGAGTCAGCAGCCGGGCCAGCGTCAGTGTCAGCGGCGCATTCGTTAAGTATACGCCATGTATGCGCCTTTTAAGTGCAGAGGCCAACCGGTTCCGCCAAATGCCAGCCAATGCAATGCTCAAAATACCTTTGTGAAAAGCCGCCAACGTTTGACTCTTTGCCAGCCAAAAAAGCTAACGATACGTTACTTCGTCTGCGGCTCGGCGGCTCTGCGCTACTGCGGAAAATTCGTGGCGTCGCATCGCTTCGCCTGACTTTTCCACTGGTCACAAGTAGCAGTCACAAGTGCTTATCCGTTATAAGTATTTGAGCACTTGTCACGTGTCCGTACCTTTAGAGGAGTCACGCTTTCTGATAGCTCTATTACAGGCACTTCAATCAGCTGCATACATACTATATATGTATCTCTATCATGAGTATTTCTGAAAGTCACTCACACTCGAAATTCTCAACCAGCCATCGGTTTCTTAGCTGCATTTCTTCTTCAAGTACTCGCTTAATTTAGCCAGAGCTTAAGTGAAATAACAGTTACCTGACAGTGATATCATCGAGACTCACTTCAGCTACAAATCATTTTCAACTTTCTGGTTAGTGTTAGCTGTGACTGCTCTGAAAATATATATGAAAAATTTAAAGAAAATGAAAAATAGAAAAGAATATTTATTTATTTATATATTAATATTTTTTTTTTTTTTTGCAAAATTTTAAAGAAAAAAAATTAAATTTATGAATTTCCCTAAAGATGGAAAAGCAATATTAATTTATATTTAAAAAAAAATTTTTTTTTTGTATTAAAAAATTTATATTCTATTTTAAAATTTTTGACAAAAAAAAAAAAAAAAATATTTTTTCTTAACATAGCTTACACATTACATCAATTATATAATATTTAATTATTGAAAATGGTACATTTTGTTCTGCTTGAGTGTCATAGCAATCAGCTTGCAAAAAGCTGTCAGCTTTTGTCTGCTTAAACTTACTAATTTAGCCATGCAAATCATTCTCTCTAAAAACTATACTCGAGCTGCAGATCTAGACAATCAACTATTAAGCTATACTAGTTTTCCAGTCTAACTAATATCTTCGAGTCACCAAATTCATTCATTTTCCAATACATCAACTGCAAATACCAAATCACAGCTTCGCTTAACCAGTCACTGGTTAGCGTGATCAATCACAGTTTAGCCACTCAACTCCAATGAGTGCCGCTTGCCATGGCAATGAAAATTGGGGCGCCTCGCCGGCTCTGGCAGTCAGTTAACTGCATTCCCAGCACAGCTGAGTTGAGTTGAGTTGAGCTGAGCTTAGCTTGGCTCTGCCTAGACGCAGCCCTAAGGGCAAGCGAGTGCAGGTGCAATTGCAGTTGCAGTTGCTGTTGCAGTTGCTATTGCTGCTGCTGTGGTTGCTCTTACCAGTTGGCAGTTGGCAGTTGCTGTTGGCCGTTGCAGTTGCCACGCCAAAAGTTAAAACGAAACAAGTGAAAACAAGTTGAGCGCCTGCAGCAGGCCCGGAAAGTGGGTCAGCACAGCCACAGAGAGCAATGCATAAAAGAGGAATCGCTAAGCAGCTAACTGAGATTCAGATTCAGCTGGCTCTGGCAGTCAGTCAGGCAGGCCAGTTATGCGCAGTAGCCATATCGGGCGGGCGCTTAGGCGATGCTGATGGAATGCTGAATGATGAGCAGGGTACATGGGCAATGGGAAACCGTAATGAAGAATGCCAGCTAGACAAAGGGGGGAAGATGGGTATCTATGGACGACGTCATCGGCAATGCGTTGCAGTTGACTCTGACTCTATTGACGGTTATTAGGCATGTCGAAGGCGGGCTAATGCCTTCCAGATTGTTGGCATAATACTCGTTGCGAACAACCGATTGTTGTTGTTGTTGTTGTTGTTGCTGTTGTTGTTGCTTTTGCTATGCTCACATTGCTGTTCTGGTTGATGATGATGATGGGTTTTTAATATGCATTTGGTGGCAGTTGCAACAAATGTACGGTTAGTTTAATAACAGAACGTGCGGCACAGCCCCAAGTGGGGGCCATGCGAATCTCTCACTCACCGCGAAAATCTCTCTTCAACGCTTTAACCCCGCTTCTCGCTCTCTCTCTCTTCCTCTCGTTGCAGCCGCTCACCCTGGCGCCGTTTGTTATAGCCATGCCCATTGTCAAATGTTCGATACGCGCACCCACTGCGATTTCCTCATACCCAATCTCTTTGGACGCTGCCAGTGCACGGCGCCGACGCGCATGGTGGGTGGACTCTGTGTGGCACCAGCGGCCGATGAGACGGCAGCAGAGGAGCAGCCCGCTGAGAAGGCATCCACGACCACAACAACAACGACAACGACAACAACGCCTGTGCCTACAACAAGAGCAACAACAACGACGACAACATCGACGACAACAACAACAACAACAACAACAACTCCAGCGCCCACAACAGCGAGAACAACGTCAGCGCCCATCTTGCTGGAGGATGAGCTGCCCGCCAGCGTGGAGGAGCAGGCATTTGAAGAGGATGATATGGATGCTATAAAGCTGCGACCCCAAGTCGTCGACGTGGACAATGGTGAGAAATTCGATCCTGTGGATCATGCACATGAGGAAACCGAATTGACTCAACAGCAGGAGCTGGAGGAGAGTCAAGCCAAGCCCGAGGCTGAGCAGACTCAACCAGAGGAGCAGCAGCAGGAAACTGAGCTGGAGAGTGAGCACATTCCGGCAATCCTAGAGCCAGAACAGCCTGAAACAGTTGAGCAAGCGGTAGCCTCCGAGCAGGAGGAGCAACGCCCCGTCGAGGAACAGCAGCCAACAACTGGAGCTCAGCAGCCATTGACGCCAGCCGATGTGACCACCGAGGCCATGGAAGCTGTGGAGCACGAGACTGAAGCATTGCCCGCCTACGACTATCCGTACAAGATTGATGAGGAATACGCTGAGGAGCATGAGATCAAGCCCGAGGCAGAACCAGAAACAGTGCCAGAGGCGGAGGTGGATGCAAAGCCAGAGCCACAGCCCGAGTCAGAGCCACAGCCAGAGACAGTGCCAGAGGTGCAAATTGAGGAGGAGGCGGTTCCAGCACCTGCAACGGTCAATGAGCCAACTGTTGAGGAGGAGGAGGAGCCGGAGGAGGCATCGGGCGCACAAGAAATTGCGCCAGCCGCAGCCGACGATACCATGAAATTTGATTATGAAACCGAAGAGCAACAACAGCAACAACAACAACAACAGACGGCTGAGCAAGCTCCTCAGCAACAGCAACATGATGAGCTGGAATCTGCGCTAGGTGCCGTGCCCATTGAGAAGGAGGAGGAGATCAACAGTGAGACTGATGTGGAGGCAGCCACAGAGAACAATCAGCAGCTGCAGCTGGAGGATGAGAAGGAGCCGACGTCAAACGATGCTGATGATGATTTGATACCCGTGCATGGCGAAGAGGTGGCGGAAAATGAAAGTGCAACAAATGCGCCAGCCAAGCAGCAGCCAGAGGCTGAGTCGGAGAACGTTGAGCAGGAGGAGGTGGAGCAGTCGGGTGATCATGAGATGGAGACGGAGCAGGCGCCTCAGGCAGAGGCGGAGATAGAGGCGGAAGCACAGGAGGAAGCACAGACGGAGGCGGAGGTGGAGACACAACCACAACAAGCTGACGTCACAGCAGTCAATGATGAAGAAGAAGAAGCTGTTGAAGAAGTGCAGCCAGCCAAGCAGGCAGAGGAGGAAGAAGAGGAACAACAGCAGCAACAACAACAACAACAACAAGACGAGCTGCAGTTCGCAACAGAAGCAACCGAAATTGAGGAGCCAGCGAAACTGATGGACAGCGAAAGCCCAGCAGCAACAATTGCCAATGATGCAGAGACAGAGGTAGAGTCTGTGTCAGAGCCAGAGCTGGAAAAGGAAAATCAAGTGGAAGAGGAGCCAGAGAAACCCGACCAAGCAGCTGAAGCCGCAGAAGTCGAGGCGGCAACAGAAACCGCGGCAGAGCCTGAGAATGCAGCTGAAATCGAGACAGAGCCAGAGGCAGAGGAAGAGGAAGAGACGGAAAATGGGAAGGAGAAGGAGACGGAGTCAGAGTCAGAGTCAGAGTCAGAGCTGGAGCTGAAGCTGGAGACGACAACCGATCAGGCAGAACAAAGCGCCGACGTTAAGCCGACAAGTGGCGAAGATGATTTAAATGAAGCCAATCAATTAAATCAACAGCAAATCGCAGAGCAAAAACCAGACGAAGCTGAAGCTGAGGCTGAGGCTGACGCTGAGGTTGCGGCAGAAGCGACAACTGAGCAGCAGCTGAATGAGGAGCAGAATGTGGAACATGAGATAGAGACAGAAAGCCAAACGGAGAAGGAGACGGAGTTGGAGATGGAGCCAGCTGCTGAGGTGGAGGCAATCAGCGAAGCGCAGCACGAAGAATCGACTTACCCAACAAATGATGATGAATTGGCGCCAGAGCAAGTCACAGAGCAGGTGGCCAATGCACAAGACGATGCAGAGGAGCACGACGAGGCAGCGGAGGCGGAGGAGATGGCAGCAACCACTAGTGAACCAGAAATCTTGCAGCAGCCAACAGCAGCAGCAGAGGAGACTGAGCTAAATGCAAATGCAATTAAGACGCCCGAAGTGTCGGAAACAATTGCAGAGCCAGCGCTTGAACTAGAGTCAGAGCCAGAGCCAGAGCCAGAGTCGGAGACAGAGTCGGAGCCCGAGGCAGTGCAGGCGGTGCAGTTAGACAACATTGCTAATGATGAGGTGTCGCACGTTGAGGATGAAGTTGAAGAGTTGCCCGTGCAGCAGGCAGATGAGGTTGAAGGCGCGGCTGATGCGGCCACTGAAATACCGACAGAGGCAACGCCAATTAAACACGATGAGCTGCAGGAAACCGAACTCAATCTCAAGACGGAAACTGTCACCGAGCGCAGTGAAAGTGGCGAGCAGGCTGAAGCGGAAATGGACAAAAATGAAAATGATAATATCATACAAGGAGCGGAGCCAAATGTGGAGCAGCAGCCAATCAAGGTCACAGCGGCAGAGGCCGAAGCAGAGGTAGAGGCAGAGTCCACAACTGAGCAGCAGATCAAATTGGATGAGGCGGAGCTGCAGCAGCCAGAAGTGAACTTCGACGATGCCAGCATGGAAAAAGTTGAGGATGCGCCAGCGGAGACTGTGACCGAAGCAGCAGCAACAGCAGCGGCGGAAATGGAAACGGAGCAGGCAGCCACACAGCTGCCCGAGCTGGTCGCCGAGGTGCCCATTGTGAGCGAGGAGCAGCCTGCCGATGACTTCAAGGAAAGCGAAAGCGTTGCGGGCATACTGAACGATCTGATGCTTGAGGGCGACAGCACCGTGCCTCCGGTGCCATTCGGAGAGCAGCCGGCGCAAACTATGCCCATACCAGCCGGCGAGAAGCCAAAGCAGGAGGCGCAGCAGCAGCAACAGCAGCAGCTGGATGAGAATGAAATGCCAGCCATGCCCGATTTGCTGGCAGAGGCCGATGAACTGCACGAGCAGCAGGAGCAACCCGAAGACACTGAAGCTGAAGCAGTGCCTGTCACTGAAGCAAACAGCAACGAGTTGGATGACAAACTAGTTACCTTCTATCCCGAGATGCCAGTGGAGCAACAGCAGCAGCAGGAGCAACAGGAGCAGGAGCACGAACAGGCAGCTGTTACAGCTGAGCTGCAGCCAGAGTCAACCACATTGGAAACGGAAGCCGAAGCAGAGCCAGAGCGCACGCTGTCGCCTGAGGAGCTGCCCTTCGACCTGAGCGATAATTCCGGTCCGATCCGGCTGCAGGAGCTCGAATCGGACAGTTTGATTGTGGAGTCCACGACGCTGGACACACAGCTCGACCAGAACAATCACATTGATGCGCTGAACGTGCACGTCACGCAAGCCAACGAGGAGGCCACGCCCAACCCGGCTGATATCGTCGAGATCACCACGCAGACCATGCTCGGCTTGGCTAGTCGTGTTACACTCATGGAGCCCGCCGCCCCAGTGGTGACCACCCTGAAGCCCCTGATGACCTCAGAGGAGGCCACACCCCTGCCCGCTATCAGCTACCCGCCAGAGAATCCCATCGTGTCGCTGCTGAGTGGCAAACCGAGCACAGAGCTGCGCAAGCGCGTCGACCTGGCCCTGGAGGCCATCTCTCTGGGTCTGCCCTGCGCCAGCGATCGCCAATGCCAGATGGCCGATCCCCACACCGTCTGCAATGCACGTGGCGTGTGCGACTGCGCCGCATCAACTGGCGCAGATCAGGGTCAGTGCAGTGCGGAGCGCACAGGCTGCAGTCCCGGCACCTTCCAGGTGAGCATATACTAAAAATACTAAATCAATTCTGATAAAACTTAAGACAGCATAAGCAGGAATACCCCTAATCAAATGCATTTTCCCATAATTAATCGAGTTTCTCTCTCTCTCTCTCTCCTAGTGCCGTTCGAGTGGCGTTTGCATCTCGTGGTTCTTCGTGTGCGATGGACGCGCCGACTGCAACGACGAATCCGACGAGGAGTGCACCCACAATGCCCGCCTCAATCAGACCTGTCCGGCGGAGGCGTTCCGCTGCGAGCGCAGCGGCCGTTGCATCTCCCGTGCGGCGCTCTGCGACGGACGCAAACAGTGTCCGCATGGCGAGGATGAGCTGGGCTGTGATGGCCATCTGAAGGGCGGCAACAGCTGTCCGGCGCACACGTTCCGCTGCAAGAGCGGCGAATGCCTGCCCGAGTACGAGTACTGCAATGCCATTGTCTCCTGCAAGGATGGCAGCGATGAGCCGCCCCATCTCTGCGGCTCTCGTGCCATGCCCAATCTCTTCATGCGCCTGATCGAAGCGGGTGGCCTGCTGGCCAGTCGCCGGGAGCCGGATGCCTATTGCCCGCATCGCTGCAGCAATGGACTCTGCCGCTCCACGGCCATCGTGTGCTCCGGCCGCGATGGCTGCGGCGATGGCACCGATGAGCAAACCTGCGCCGTCTGCCGTACGTTTGAGCCCTTTAATACCATCTTGAGATCTGTAATTAATGTATATCCCATCTGCATTTCAGGCTGTCCCGCTCCAACTGCTGCCAGCCTGCCGGCCTATTTGGCCAGGCATCGCCCCATGCCGCTGTGGTAGACGGGGGGAGTAGGGAGATCTACATGATGATCATCATCACTATACTTCGTGCACTTCACCCACGCTGTCAATTTGCCAATTTATGTGAACCAATTTTGGATATATTTGGATTTTTTGAGCTAGCATTTAAGTCGATTTAACGCTATTTATTTATTTATTTATTATTTGTTTGCGACTGCGCCTGCCACGCCCAATTGCCACCTTGCTAGCAAGGGATGGCCGACATCCTTTGACCCAGCGATGCTGACAATTGTGCGCCCTATGCGCAATCTAAAGACCCCCAAACACCACACACACACACCTCACACACTATCCACACTTCATCCAGAACTTCATCTATTCCCATTATCAACTTTATTTATTCTATTCATGTGCCCATTGAACTATTTATTTATTCTCACTCTAAATACCTAAAAAAAAAAAAAAAAAAAAAAATGCGAAAAAAAACAAAAACTTCATTCGCTTAGCTTAGTTTTATAAAATTATCTAATTTATTTAAATTATGGCCAGGCAAAAACCACAATCAACAACAACAACAACGAGAACAAATGATGCATTTTTATCATAAATTAATTTGTTTGTAAATAAGTTAACAAATTGCTTGATGTACATGATAAATGACTATAATATCGAAAAGCTTCTCTATTCACTGTAACTCTATGGACTCTATCCATGCATGTCGAGTGGGCGTCGTAATACGCGGCTGCCCGCAGTTCCATCAAGTCAAAACGCATCACAAGACATCTAAAACCAATTAAGACAATACAAAATGCATGAATTTAATGATAATACAAATAAAAGAAAACTTATTTTTAAAATAAAAATATCAAAAAATTATAAAATTGTTTATTCGTTTTATTTGCCTACATTCGCATAGCAGATTTAGTTTAGAATCGACAGAAAATTTGGTCACTACTTCATTTTTATTGCTTCTTCATTCTAATACTATTCTACTACTTTTTCGGTTGTACCTCCTACTTTTACTCCTACATTCTACTATTTTATATTTTCTTTGCATTCTTTTACTTATACGATTACTAATTTCTTACTTCCAATAATTTTGTACTTCAATTATTCCTATTGTTATATATAATAGTCTTTCCTTGTCCTAGCCTATCTATATCTGCTCCTATTTCCACTTCTAATGCTGTTCCCAACAACCTTATTTCTTCACCAATTATACCAAAATCTACTCCTTTTCTTTATCATACAGTCAGTCCAATTTTTAGACGAACTCTTACTCGTACTCCCATTCTTATTCTAACTCTTCAACTTCTACTCCTATGTTTACCTCTATGTTTACTACTTTTTTCTTTCTGCCTACTACTATATTGGCTCCTATCTGTACTGTCATTTCTAGTCGTAACTAACACTACTTCTATTCACGCTCTTCTACTACTATTTTCACAGCCAAATCGGAGAACTTTTAAATGAGTTCCATTTTTGTTAAACTTCAAATTTGACTTATTTTACAAAGTTTTAAATCAAAACCAAATACCACATATTTTTTTTTATATATATATATATTCTTGGCAAAGCGAATTGTAAATGGGGCTTACAAAGTTTATCTTAAAGGTTCAGCGACATAAGGCAAATGGAGAGTCAACCGCTAATTGAGTCCTGCAAGGGATCGACGAAACCATCTTCACAACAATCGATTTCATACAAGTCAATACTTATCTGGTTCTTTCGTAAGACACTGTGGCAACGGAAAAACGTTTACATTTTAGTCACTTTATTGATTCCGATATTATATCTCCTATGCTATTGCCTAGTTGGACTTAATGAGCCAAACTATAAATATGCAAAAGAAGTAATTGAATCGATAGTTAAAGAGGAACGGCAAGGTTTGTTAGAGTCCCCCATGGATGGTTATCCGATAATTGATTATGGTTCATACCTCTATTTCATTACCAATAGGTTACCTCGTATACTCCGATTACTGCAAGATTGTAGATCGCGATCCATACAAATACGAGATAATGATGCTTTTCAACGATACAGTGCTCCAGCCCTGTAAGCCATATCCCCCACTCACCCAAGTGCATTACGATAGCAGCATTCAACGCTACCTTCTGAGCGTCGATCCTATTGCCTTTCCCAAATACAACGTGAAGCACTCATTCGGCTGCTGCTACAATGGCGTGGAGCGTATCAGTGACGATTACATTGAGTTAACGGAATGTCAGCCATTCACTAGCAGAACTGAACTATCTAATACTACGGACAGCATCATTGTCAGCTGTCAGACTGACCATGAGCGAATCTATATCAACGGGCATCCCACCATACCTGAGCGATACGACGTGCGACAGCGACTGGAGCATTGGGCGCAGAAGGATCGAGGCAAGCGTGTGCCCAGCGTCCTAATGATAGGCATCGATAGCACCTCGAGACTAAATCTCATTCGCGCCATGCCCAAGACAACTCAATATCTGTACGACAACGACTGGTTCGAGCTGGCAGGCTACAATAAGGTAAGCTCGATTGATGGCCCCGATCGGATCATAGCTAAAGTCTGACTCCGACACAGATCGAAGACAATACTTTTCCCAACCTTATGGCACTCTTGGTGGGTTACAATCTATCGACTGTCTTGAAGCACTGTAATCCCTATGAGATAAACGGCCTGGACCAATGTGACTTCATCTGGAAGCTGTTCCAGAAACATGGCTATGTGACGGCCTACGGCGAAGATGCGGTTCAGATCAATACTTTCAACTACATGAAGAGGGGCTTCCAGCAGCCACCCGTCGACCATTACTTGCGTCCGTATTTGTTTGTGGCAGAGAAGCAGCTTGGTGGATTTATACATGATTATCTGCCTGATTGCGTGGGCTTTGAGTTGGAGGCAATAACTGTTTATAGGTATGCCCAGGAGTTTGCAAATCGTTACCTTAACAACAGCTTCTTCGGCTTCTTCTGGACGAGCACGCACAGCCATGACACCATTTCACAGACCAGGTCCATGGATGAGTATCTGAAAGAATATATGCAGGGTCTGGTGGCACAAGGCATCCTGGAGAATAGTATTGTTATCTTCTTCAGTGATCATGGCTTACGTTTCGGACCGACCCGAGATAGTTGGTCCGGGTATTTCGAGGAGCGATTGCCGTTCCTGTTCATCTGGCTGCCGGAATTTATGAGACAGGCGTACCCAGAATTTGTGGACGCGCTGCGTGTGAATCGCAAACGCCTGACCACGCCCTATGACCTGCACTTGACACTGAAGCACATACTTTCGCTGACGGGTCGAGTTGGCAGCCAGGAGGATCTGGGTGGAGCCAAGGACTGCCCGCAGTGCCAGAGCCTATTTAAGCCTATTCCGCTGAATCGCAGCTGCGCGGATGTTTCCATTGAGGATCACTGGTGCACGTGCAGAACGTTCAAGCGAACGACGGACAAAATTCTGACCAGACTAGCCCAGCATACAGTCGAACACATTAATAGCCTCTTGGCCAACGGCAGCTATTTAAATCGATGTGAGCCTCTCCAGCTGAATCAGATTCAACATGCCTACAGGGCAGACGCCAATGCATTCGATCCGAGACACGTGCGAATCTATATGCTCACCCTAACAACATTACCGAATTATGCAAAGTACGAGGCAACATTGCGCTATGACAAGCTTCAGCCGAAGCACAACAAAATACGTTTGACTGGCTCTGTGAGTCGAATCAATTCCTATAGGGGCTACATAGGTTGCCTGGGCAGAGATCCAATGATCAGATATTGTTATTGTCGCAATCAGCTCAGAAAAAGCTATAGTGAAACGAACTATTTATAGTACAATAACAAGAATTTTAATGAAATATTAATAAGAACTGTTAATCAAATTATTTTCATTTTTAACGTGCGCCGAATTGTATGCTATAAATTTGTCCAGGCATTCATTGACTGCTCAGCGACAAACGTAAGCTTTGTTTTTGTTTTCAGCACGTGCCGCAAATATCACACATACACAAACACACACACATACACACACATACTCCTGCACAGCTCAGGCCTCGCACAGTGAGAGGCGCGTCGCTAATAAATACTCGAAGGGCATGCAACAGGTGGTGTGCGCTGATTGGCCGAAGAGAGAAGCAAAGAGAGAGAGCGACACGCAGACAGCGTCGGCGCTGACTGCGCAGTCGCCGCAAACGAAGGCGACAAGCAAATAAACATTGCATGCTTTTAGGCGACGCGCACAAATTGCAGCCTCACTTTTTCTCTCTCTCTCTCACGCTCTCTGTCGCTCTGTCCCGCTGACTGTTGTGAATTTGTGAAAGCTCTCACACTCTCACATTCACAAGCGAACGCCTCAGCCTCGCTGGCGCCAGCTTGCAAAAATATTTTGAATTTTGTTATTAACTGTTTGCAGGCCGCTGCAGCAGGACATGCGAGCGTCGCGTACGTTTGCGCGCGTCTCTGTGCTTGTGTGTGTGCGTGTGCAGTGTAATTAAAACAAGAGACTTGCATATTATATTACAACATATTGTTGCAATCAATAAAGGGCTGCAGAAAAGCAAATGCAAACACGTGAGTGCAATAGTTAAACAGACATTGAACAAACCAAAAACAAAACAAACATAACAAAAATGAAAAGAAAAGAAAATTGTTGCGAAAAAGTTCTCTACACTTGTGTGCGTCTGAGTGGGTGGTGTATCTGCGTGTTGATGTGTATGTGTGTGTGTGTGTACTCGAGTACGCGCAGCTTGTTAGTATCTATTGTGTCACAGCAATGTTTTGTAGTTTTTACGCTGACGCTGCAACTGAATACGCTTCAATAGCAACTGAACAAGTGTGCGAGTGTGTATGGGTGTTTTACTACGTCACTATGTCCTCGACATACCTACACATATATAGGTGCACATATACATACACAGCCATAGTACGTGCTCCATTTAACAAGCTGCATTCATGACTCATTTGCCGCCTGTTTCTTGTAGTTGAACCACAAAAAAAAATTAGAATGCAATATACAATAAACAATTGACCTTATCTATTTATACAGTTTGTGTAAACAGTTGAGTTGAGTTCATTTTATGGATAATTATAACAAAAAGTTTGTGCGAGTTTTTACAGTTATTTTACAATAGTATTTTAATTAGTTTTCAACAACAACCAAACTGCATTAGAAAATGTGGCGCACAATAATGATACAATCGGCATGCAAGCGAGTGGAAATTGAAACAACATACGTTTGACAATAGTAATTAAAATTGCCTACCAACCAAATACAATTCGAAAAAATGTCCAGTGGGCTTTTCTACCTCTAGCTTTGGTTCCACCTCCATATTTATTTATGACGTGCTTGCTCTCTATGTCTAGCAATAACTCCAATCTATGAAAAAATAAAAAAAAAATATATTTTTTTTTTAAGGCGTCTCCAAA